TGAACTGCACCTCACGTCGCTGGAAGACAGAAGAACCTCGGGGAGACATGATCACTACATACAAAACTCTCAGGGGAATTGACAAGGTAGACAAGGATGAATTATTCAACACGGGTGATACACGCTCAAGGGGACACAGGTGGAAGTTGAGTACCAAAATGAGCCACAAAGACGTTAGAAAGAATTTTTTCAGTATCAGAGTAGTTAGTAAATGGAATGCACTAGGCAGTGATGTGGTGGAGGCTGACTCCATACACAGTTTCAAGTGTAGATATGATAGAGCCCAGTAGGCTCAGGAACCTGTACACCAGTTGACTGACGGTTGAGAGGCGGGACCAAAGAGCCAAAAGCTCGACCTCAGCAAACACAACTTGGTGAGTACAACAATATTAGTACAACTAAATAAGTACACACAAGAACAAATAGGTGAGAACAACTAGGTGAGTACAACTAGGTGAGTACACACGCACACACTCACGGACACTCAGTATGGTTTTCTGACAGGAAGATCCTGGTTGATACCTGGTTGATGGGGTTCTGGGAGTTCTTCTACTCCCCAAGCCCGGCCCGAGGCCAGGCTTGACTTGTGAGAGTTTGGTCCACCAGGCTGTTGCTTGGAGCGGCCCGCAGGCCCACATACCCACCACAGCCCGGTTGGTCCGGCACTCCTTGGAGGAATAAATCTAGTTTCCTCTTGAAAATATCCTGTGTAACAAATCTACTTACCTTTTATTGTAGAGCCACAGAGAGAATTATCTGGGGAAGGCGCCAAGCCATTTCGACTATATAATACTTGGGGGGGGGGAGGCAGGATAAGGATTTGGGATGGGAGGAGGGGAGGGGGCGGAAGAAGGAATGGTGCCCAACCACTTGGACTGTCGGGGATTGAACGCCGACCTGCATGAAGCAAGACCGTCGCTCTACCCAAGCTCTAGCCCAAGTGGTTGGGCTTGTAGATCCAAAGATAATACAGGAAAAAGGTGGTTGGGTTTACTGTGTCTATCTGGACCTAAAAAAAAGCCTTTTGTCAGAGTCCCACACAAAGGGCTGTTCTGGAAACTGGAACATGCTGGAGTGGTGACAGGGAGACTGTTGACATGGATGAAAAATTGTCTAACTGCCAGACAGATGAGGGCAGTAATCAGAGATAATGTATCTGACTGGAGGAGTGTTACTAGCGGAGTACCACAGGGTTCAGTTCTTGCACCAGTAGTGTTCATCGTCTACATAAACGATCTTCCAGAAGGAATACTGAATTACATGAACATGTTTGCTGACGATGCTAAAATACTGGGGAAGTTAGGAGGCCCAGACGATTGCAATTCCCAACATATGTAAGTGATCTTACAGGAAGTAAGCTCGTTCTTATCCATATCTGTGGACGATGCAAAGCTAATGAGACGAATCTAAGCTGAAGTGGACAGCAATACATGACAAGACCTATACAATCTCCAGAGATGGTCTAAGAAATGCCTGCTAGACTTTAACCCTTGACAAATGTAAAGTAATGGAAAACCTACAGCACTAAACTCCATCTGCCAGTCTTTTGACCAATTCAAAAGGCAATCTGCATTCTCTTTAAATGATTTCGAGTCTTATTCTGGATTTATTTCCTGTCCAATTTCCGTTGCGTAGGCAAATTTACAAATTTTTCTGCTCAACCCCGAATCTAAATCGTTCATATATCTGATAGACAACAGAGGTCACAGACTAGACCAAAAGCTCAAGGCAAGTGATCTATCCGCTTCTTAAAAAACCTGTACCACCTTAGCAACCCTCCATGACTCCAGTACTCTGCTCGACTCTTGTGAGTCTTGGAAAATGAAAAAAAAAGCGCTCACAAAGCCTTAAAAGTTAAAGCAAAGCTTTAAAGTAAAGGTACTTTACATTAAGTACCCTGACAAATACAGTGTACGGTTGCGGAGACTCATTTAGTATAAGTTTTTCTAACATCCTAACTCATTATACTAACTCATTTAGTATAAGTTTTTCTAGTGCGTTTAATAACCTCCTCTATGGTAGTCAACCTGTCCTCTACATCACCCAAATAGATCTCTTCGGCTGAAGGCATAATAGTAAGTTCTAAGCTAATGAAAACAGACAAAACATAAGTTTAAATGACTAATAATTTCTTTGTCATTAAAAGTTGTGTTCAGTAGCAGTGTTGTGAATAAAAGGAACACCATTAAAGGAAGTGCTGGAAGGAAACTCCAGACACATATTCAAATATAAATATAAAACAGAAACAAATATAAATTTTTTTTCGAAAAACCTGTACACCCATCGTTGAAAATTAAGAGGTGGGGACCAGAGAACTGAAGCTCAACCCCCGCAAGGACAATTAGGCCAGCATAAACACAGAGAGAGAGGAGGAGAATATTTACGTCAGCAGACACAAGTAAACAGCAGCGGGGTAAATACACTGGGCCAGCCTTCAGAGTATGAAGGGAAATATCTGCAGGAAAACACCGTCTGATGAGATTTTAAGTTGCTGTCGGCAAGATGGTTGAGATGCCTGGGTGTGTATAGCCTGGGAGGCTGATGAATGCTCTCTCTCTCTCTCTCTCTCTCTCTCTCTCTCTCTCTCTCTCTCTCTCTCTCTCTCTCGCTCTCTCTCTCTTCTCTCTCTCTCTCTCTCTCTCTCTCCTCTATCTCTCTCTCTCTCTCTCTCTCTCTCTCTCTCTCTCTCTCTCTATCTCTCTCTCTCTCTCTCTCTCTCTCTCTCTCTCGATCCTCTCTTCTCTCTCTCTCTCTCTTCTCTCTCTCTCTCTCTCTCTCTCTCTCTCTCTTCTCTCTCTCTTCTCTCTCTCTCTCTCTCTTTCCTCTCTCTCTCTCTCTCTCTCTCTCTCTCTCTCTCTCTCTCTCTCTCTCTCTCTCTCTTCTCTCTCTCTCTCTCTCTCTCTCTCTCTCTCTCTCTCTCTATCTCTCTCTCTCTCTCTCTCTCTCTCTCTCTCTCTCTCTCTCTCTCTCTCTCTCTCTCTCTCTCTCTCTCTCTCTCTCTCTCTCTCTCTCTTCTCTCTCTCTCTCTCTCTCTCTCTCTCTCTTCTCTCTCTCTCTCTCTCTCTCTCTCTCTATCTCTCTCTCTCTCTCTCTCTCTCTCTCTCTCTCTCTCTCTCTCTCTCTCTCTCTCTCTCTCTCTCTCTCTCTCTCTCTCTCTCTCTCTCTCTCAGGAGCTGTGGAGGTCACTCTCACTACAGGTGCGTGTGGCTGGGCCTCTCTAAGACTCACCTACATGTGCTCCTATGGTTGACATTTAGCTCCTGTGCTCCGCTTTTCCAGTTACAAATTATTTATTATTGCAGTGACTTCCTTCCTTCTATGGACCTTAATTATTTGTGATAATGCATCTATTTTGACGTCTAAATCCCCTTCGGACATAATACGATGTACAGGATGATGCATAAGAGTATTTTCCAGTCCTCATATTGTGATTGTGATATCATATTGTGATATCATATTGTGATATCAAATTGTGATTGCGATATCATATTGCGATATATTGTGATTGCAATATCATATTGTGATTTATTGTGATTGTGATATCATGATGGGATTGTGATATCATATTGGGATTGTGATGTCATAAACAATTACATTTTTCACGCGTGAGTCCATCGGTTTGGTGAGGTTAGGGCAATTAATACATCATTTTCTGTACGTTGGGACATCTCGTGAGGGTAGGCTGCTGTGTGTATTTACTATTTGTGCCTGCAGAATCGATGTGTTAGCTCTTGGACCCGCCTTTCCGACCAATATATTTTTCCTCTGTTATGTCTACTACATATATTTCTCTCTCTCTCACCCCCCCCCCCCCCAGGAAGCAGCCCGTAGCAGCTGTCTAACTCCCAGGTACCTATTTACTGCTAGGTGAACAAGGGGAATCAGGGTGAAACTCATTTGTTTGCCCATTTGTTTCGGCCTCTGTCGGGAATCGAACCCTGGTCCTTAGAACCACAATGACAGAACGCTATCCACTCAGCCGTGAGGCCCCTTTTGTGTAAATATATGTACTCACCTAGTTGTACTCACCTAGCTGTGTTTGCGGGGGTTGAGCTCTGGCTCTTTGGTCCCGCCTCTCAACCGTCAATCAACTGGTGTACAGATTCCTGAGCCTATTGGGCTCTATCATATCTACACTTGAAACTGTGTATGGAGTCAGCCTCCACCACATCACTGCCTAATGCATTCCATTTGTCAACCACTCTGACACTAAAAAGTTCTTTCTAATATCTCTGTGGCTCATTTGGGCGCTCAGTTTCCACCTGTGTCCCCTTGTGCGTGTGCCCCTTGTGTTAAATAGCCTGTCTTTATCTACCCTATCAATTCCCTTGAGAATCTTGAATGTAGTGGTCATGTCCCCCTTAACTCTTCTGTCTTCCAGCGAAGTGAGGTTCAATTCCCGCAGTCTCTCCTCGTAGCTCATACCTCTCAGCTCGGGTACTAGTCTGGTGGCAAATCTTTGAACCTTTTCCAGTTTAGTCTTATCCTTGACTAGATATGGACACCATGCTGGGGCTGTATACTCCAGAATTGGCCTGACATATGTGGTATACAAAGTTCTGAATGATTCTTTACACAAGTTTCTGAATGCCGTTCGTATGTTGGCCAGCCTGGCATATGCCGCTGATGTTATCCTCTTGATATGTGCTGCAGGAGACAGGTCTGGCGTGATATCAACTCCCAAGTCTTTTTCTTTCTCTGACTCCTGAAGGATTTCCTCTCCCAGATGATACCTTGTATTTGGCCTCCTGCTCCCTACACCTATCTTCATGTGTGTGTGTGTGCGTGTGTGAAATTATCAAAGTGTAGTTACAGGATGAGAGCTACGCTCGTGGTGTCCCGTCTTCCCAGCACTCTTTGTCATATAACGCTTTAAGACTACTGACGGTTTTGGCCTCCACCACCTTCTCACTTAGCTTGTGTGTGTGTGAGAGTGCTAGGCAGATACAATAGCACCATGCGGGTATCAGCTACTAGCATACTATCAGCTACTAGCAAACATGCGGGTATCAACTACTAGCATCATGCGGGTATCAGCTACTAGCAACATGCGGGTATCAACTACTAGCATCATGCGGGTATCAGCTACTAGCACCATGCGAGTATCAACTACTAGCACCATGCGGGTATCAGCTACTAGCAACATGCGGGTATCAACTACTAGCAACATGCGGGTATCAACTACTAGCACCATGCGGGTATCAACTACTAGCACCATGCGGGTATCAGCTACTAGCAACATGCGGGTATCAACTACTAGCAACATGCGGGTATCAACTACTAGCACCATGCGGGTATCAGCTACTAGCACCATGCGGGTATCAGCTACTAGCAACATGCGGGTATCAACTACTTGCACCATGTGGGTATCAGCTACTAGCACCATGCGGGTATCAGCTACTAGCACCATGCAGGTATCAACTACTAGCACCATGCGGGTATCAACTACTAGCACCATGCGGGTATCAGCTACTAGCACCATGCAGGTATCAGCTACTAGCAAAATGCGGGTATCAACTACTAGCACCATGCGGATATCAACTACTAGCAACATGCGGGTATCAACTACTACCACCATGCGGGTATCAACTACTAGCAACATGCGCGGTATCAACTACTAGCACCATGCGGGTATCAGCTACTAGCAACATGCCGGTATCAGCTACTAGCACCATGCGGGTATCAACTACTAGCAACATGCAGGTATCAACTACTACCACCATGCGGGTATCAACTACTAGCAACATGCGAGTATCAACTACTAGCACCATGCGGGTATCAGCTACTAGCACCATGCGGGTATCAGCTACTAGCACCATGCGGGTATCAGCTACTAGCAACATGCGGGTATCAGCTACTAGCAACATGCAGGTATCAGCTACTAGCAACATGCGGGTATCAGCTACTAGCAACATGCAGGTATCAGCTACTAGCAACATGCAGGTATCAGCTACTAGCACCATGCGGGTGTCAACTACTAGCACCATGCGGGTATCAGCTACTAGCAACATGCAGGTATCAGCTACTAGCACCATGCGGGTATCAGCAACTAGCAACATGCAGGTATCAGCTACTAGCAACATGCGGGTATCAACTACTAGCACCATGCGGGTATCAGCTACTAGCAACATGCGGGTATCAACTACTAGCAACATGCGAGTATCAGCTACTAGCAACATGTGGGTATCAACTACTAGCACCATGCGGGTATCAGCTACTAGCAACATGCAGGTATCAACTACTAGCAACATGCGGGTATCAGCTACTAGCAACATGCGGGTATCAGCTACTAGCAACATGCAGGTATCAGCTACTAGCACCATGCGGGTATCAGCTACTAGCAACATGCGGGTATCAACTGCTAGCAACATGCGGGTATCAACTACTAGCACCATGCGGGTATCAACTACTAGCAACATGCGAGTATCAACTACTAGCACCATGCGGGTATCAGCCACTACTAGCACCATGCGGGTATCAACTACTAGCACCATGCGGGTATCAACTACTAGCAACATGCGGGTATCAACTACTAGCAACATGCGGGTATCAACTACTAGCACCATGCGGGTATCAACTACTAGCACCATGCGGGTATCAGCTACTAGCACCATGCGGGTATCAGCTACTACCACCATGCGGGTATCAACTACTAGCACCATGCGGGTATCAGCTACTAGCACCATGCGGGTATCAGCTACTAGCACCATGCGGGTATCAGCTACTACCACCATGCGGGTATCAGCTACTACCACCATGCGGGTATCAACTACTACCACCATGCGGGTATCAACTACTAGCAACATGCGGGTATCAACTACTAGCACCATGCGGGTATCAACTACTAGCAACATTCGGGTATCAACTACTAGCACCATGCGGGTATCAACTACTAGCACCATGCGGGTATCAACTACTAGCACCATGCGGGTATCAACTACTAGCACCATGCGGGTATCAACTACTAGCACCATGCGGGTATCAACTACTAGCAACATGCGGGTATCAACTACTAGCACCATGCGGGTATCAGCTACTAGCACCATGCGGGTATCAACTACTAGCACCATGCGGGTATCAGCTACTAGCACCATGCGGGTATCAGCTCTTACACCTAACCAGGCTCATTCATCACCCCCCCCCCCACACATCAGCGTGTGGGGGGGGGGGGAAGAATGACCTGACAAAGGGTCTTCCGCTAAAGATTCCACCTCGTCGCCTGGGGTCCCGGGTCGATCCCGGTCAACTTCAAGAGGATTCAACCGTAATGGAAATTCAAAGTTATGCGCCTCTCTTTTTTTTTGTTCTTTCCTTGAGATCGTACGAGTTCGGAGTGTGTTGAGGGTGAAGGTTCCCGGCCCTCAGACCGGGCTCACCATAGCCCGTGCTACCTGGAACTTGTTCCGAGTAGATGAATCTATAACAACAACCTCTGAACGGTCCCTATTCCACCCCCCCCCCCTATTTTGGGGGGGAGCATAAACGGTTTGGCTGTTGTTGTTGATTAAGATTTGCTATTTGGAACAAAAAGTTCAAAGTAGCACGGGCTATGGTGAGCCCGTAGTGGACTTAACGGTTTGGGATTTGTTATTGTGTACATACGTTTGTTTCTCAGTGTGTTGGTTGTGTCGAGCTCTAGTCTCTGGGTTCCGCCTTATCGCCTGTGGTTGTTAAGTGGCCCCTCACGTCTATATTTCACTGGGTTTCTTAATTTGTCGTTTTAAAAGTTGCAGCCGAGGACAACCATCAGGAACTGTGATAGTTGGAGGCTGTCTTCAGGAAACAGTAGTGAAGGACTTTATGTAAGGACTGTGATAGTTGGAGGCTGTCTTCAGGAAACAGTAGTGAAGGACTTTATGTAAGGATCATTGGTAGACTCAAACGCAACATTTTGCTTTTGAAAATTATCTTTCAATTTTAACCAGATTTTTTTTTTTTAAACTCAATGGCCGTCATGAGAAAGATTGTATACTAATTTTTGTTATGATGAATTTTTGTTATGATTATATAATGATGAAGCGATGAGTTAGTATGATGGAAAGGATGATAGTATCTAGAAGGGACGCGAGGGACGGCTCTAATGCCTCCTTAACTATTTCTGAGGAGAATAACGTGTTTTAATCCTTTCAAACTAAACACATCCGAGATGTGTTCCATGTATTTAAAAGTAAATTATTTTAAAATAATATTTCAACAAATGCAACAGGTGTCTCCCCAGCTCCAGGGAAAGTTAGCTACGTTTGATGATGTAATAATTGCGCGACGTTCATCCCTCGATCACTTGGGATGGACGGTAGAGCGACGGTCTCGCTTCCTGCAGGTCGGCGTTCAATCACCGACCGTACAAGTGCTTGGGCATCATTCCTTCTCCCCCCTCCCCCGTCCCATCCCCAATCCTTATCCTGACCCCTTCCAAGTGCTATATAGTCGTAATGGCTTGGCGCTTTCCCCTCTTACGTTTGTTGTTTGCATACCTCAACAACAACATCTAGTTAATTCCATTTACTTATAACTTATAGACCAAACAAATATTTCCTTCCATCCCTATTGTTCGTCTCTGCAAAAGTTTTGAGCCATATCTATCTTGCCAATATTGATTAGTATCATATGTATATTGTTTAATTTAATGTCAAAAAATCCTGGAATATTCGTAATCCATTTCTCTGGACGTTTACGAGTTTCGTCTGGTGCTTTTTCATAGTAGTTTTCGTGCTGTGGTTGCATACTCCAGATCTAGTCTCACGTAGGTGAGACTAGATCAAGACCTTCAATGAAATCTTGATCAAATTTTGAAAGTAGGTGTGTGTGTGTGTTTGTGTGTTCGTGCGTGTGTGTTGGTTAGGCCCATTTGCTGTTAGCACATATTCCACAGTCAAGATTATCTTGAGGTTATCTTGAGATGATTTCGGGGCTTTAGTGTCCCCGCGGCCCGGTCCTCGACCAGGCCTCCACCCCCAGGAAGCAGCCCGTGACAGCTGACTAACAACCAGGTACCTATTTTACTGCTAGGTAACAGGGGCATAGGGTGAAAGAAACTCTGCCCGTTGTTTCTCGCCGGCGCCTGGGATCGAACCCAGGACCACAGGATCACAAGTCCAGCGTGCTGTCCACTCGGCCGACCGGCTCCCCTAAGATAAGTACAAGCTTTAGACAACCCATAAGGTCGATATTATAATACCCACAAAAGGTAAACACAGCCCTCAGTCACACCACCACCAAAGAAAACCACACGAACAACACCAGGGGAGACTAAAAAAAAAAATATATAAATACGCCGCGGCTGAATCACCGCCAACAACATTAATGTGACTATCGACCAATGTTTCACCTCGTTCCATCATTAACCTTGAGGCTGTGATCTGCTTCACTGTATTCTTGGTCCGGGTTATAAGATGTATCCAATCACCGCAACACATGTTTGTTCTCAAGGGGTAATGACGACCCAGGGCGCAACCACTAATCACGACCTTGATACAATCAGCAGGGGAGGGTGCGGGTCAGTACAGGCGTCCCCCCGGTCAGGCGTGGTGGGGCTGGCGCGTCGGGGCTCTCGTGTGCTTGAAACTGCCGGGCTTTTTTAGTTTTGCAACGATAAAAGGTCACGCAGAGCTGAAGATGAGGCTAGGAACCGGCCGCGGTGTGTGTGTGTGGTGTGTGTGTGTGTGTGTGTTGTGTGTGTGTGTGTGTGTGTGTGTGTGTGTGTGTGTGTGTGTGTGTGTGTGTGTGTGTGTGTGTGTGGTGTTGTGGTGTGACTGTACTCACTAGTTGTACTCACCTAAGTTTAGTCTGCAGGATCGAGCATTGACTCTTGGATTCCGCCTTTCGAGCATCGGTGTTACCGCAATGACTCTGTCTATTTCCCTATCATACCTGGTTTAAAATTACTGAATAGTATTGCTTCCAAACCTGCTCACTGAAGTGCCTTCATTTCAACCGTCTCTCACGCTAAAAGAAAAATCCTAACATCTCTGGACTATCTGAGTTTCAAGCTTCCATCCATGTCCTCTCGTTCTGTTACTATTCGTGTGACATTTCGTCTATGCACTCTGTCAAATCCTTGAGTATCTTATACGTTCCTATCATGTCCTATCATGTCATGTCCTATCATGTCACAAACACACTGTGTGTGTGTGTGTGTGTGTGTGTGTGTGTGGTGTGTGTGTGTGTGTGAGAGGTGAGAGACTGTGTGGTTGTGGGTGTGTGTGTGTGTGTGTTGTGTGTTGTGTGTGTGTGTGTGTGTGTGTGGGTGTGTGTGTGTGTGTGTGTGTGTGAGTGAGAGACTGTGGTGTGTGTGTGTGTGTGGGTGTGTGTTGTGTGTGTGTGTGTGTGTGGGTGTGTGTGTGTGTGTGTGTGTGTGTTGTGTGTGTGAGTGAGAGACTGTGTGTGTGTGTGTGTGTGGTGTGTGTGTGTGTGTGTGTGTTGTGTACTCACCTATTTGTACTCATCTATTTGTGTCTGCAGGATCGAGCAGTGACTCTTGGATCCCGCCTTTCGAGCCATCAGTTGTTAACAGCAATGACTCTGGTCCTATTTCCCTATCATACCTAGTTTCAAAATTATGAATAGAATTTGCTTCCACCACCTGCTCCTTTTTTATTTATTTTTTTAAATTTTGCCCCGA